TGTGAATCTTAAATACTCATATATCAATCCGCAAGCAGATCTAGGCCATATCTTCAGATATATATATATCCCCCGATCAACATCATGCTCCGTATAGCACAATGTTATCAGAAGATTTATATTATTCCAAGTGCATTAATGAAAACAAGGTGATTTCATTCTACACATAACACGAAATTTTCGAAGAATACCGGGATTACATGAAATTTTAAATTGCCGAAATAAAATCTATGAATACATACACCTTCCTAGTTCCTATACAACAGTTTTGTCCTACAGATCAGGAAAGCGGATGAACGGTTCGTAAGCCTCTGCTAAAGACTTAAACGCCGGCTCTTTGGCTTGTTCGTTTGCAGGACGATCGTTGAAACAAAAATATGGCAAAGGTTATCCGTTCAAGGTAAGTAGTTTTTACTACAGCATATAACCAGCAAATAAAAACAAGCATAACGTACATAGTTTTCCGCCTCCATTTCCTTGTATATTTACATTAAAATTTGACCTTATCATGGCTTTTCCTATAATAAACAGTTTGTGGAAATATGAAATGAATTTATTATTTTTTTTATTCTAGTGGTTTATGATTTGAAACGATAAATTATATATACGTTGAAAGTAATAAAAACGGTGACCGTACATTTAAACCCATGTGTATATCCGCGTGTTCAATCTATATACGGGGGCTAAAACCCATGGGTTGGGGTTAGTATGGGTTCAAATATCCGCAAAACAAAAAAAAATTCCATGGGTGCGATTGCCGTGGGTTCAAATGTACGTGGGTTCGTGGTACGTGGCTCGTAAGCAGTTCAAAATGTGCTCCTTCATCGAAACTATTGTGGTTGTTTTTTACTTTTATTCTCAAAGGTTATCTCATCAGGTTTGAATTCTGTAGGTGATTAAAATGTGAGACTATTTGCTGACGGATACTTAGATTTCTTTTTCGTTCAATATTAAGATCAATTTTGGGATTTTTTTTAAATGACTTTTTGTAAAATTTCGTAAAACCAGGCAGACCTACAGGTATTGACAGTTTTTTTTTTCCGCTCGATTTCACAGGCTTCCCCCAACACATGTGTCAAGTATTTATTATTAAATGTGGGACAACAGGACTTAGCCCCTGGGGGAAATTCTAATCCAAAACGGGTTAAGCCTCTACTCCCTACACCCTTTGCAAGGTTGCTGGATAGCTTGAGATAAATTTGGAGTCTGTTGCATTATGCTCCAAAGTTTTCCATCACAGTATAGTTCGAATTATATCTTTGAATCTTGAGATCCCAGTGGACACGATAATTGAACTGCTCAACGTGTTTTTTTTTTCAATTCTTCTTTAGCCAATCGAAATGATTACGGCTCTCACCACGATTCAGAACTCACCCTAGCAATAGCGCCAGTGTAGTTTGTCATTCTGAACGTTGCCTTTGTAAACAAAGTTACAAAATAATATTAAAAGTTGGTTTCGAATTGTCTGGTGCAGAAGACTTAAATTGTTAAAAGCGCCATATATTTCCATACTACACACAAACACAAAATAATAAAAAATAAATATTTTAGGTTCAATTTGCACACAAACCGCTTTATCGCGCATTTTGTGATGCATTATACCAAGGGGTAGTCTCATCCGTCTCATTAACTTTCCACTAAATTCCAAGATGTTGCCTAAAGTAGGGAAACATCGGATCCAAATACATATTGTAATTTTTGACCACTTTGATCAAACACAAGCCTATCAACCAAACTTTGCCCCAACTCTACTGAATCTCCAAGCCAAATTACTTCAACCGCGAGGTAAATGGAGTCAAATTGATATAAAAAATATTAGTCTTCAATAATAGGAATACCAGAAGAATTTCATTTGTTTTGTGTTTTTAGATTAACTTATTTCTTTGAAGTGCGACTACGATATTGGCAAATCGTGTTAAGAGCTCACTTTCCGCTTTATGAGAGCAATAGCAATTGTTTACAGACACAGTTCACTGAAAAATTCTCAAGTGTAATTATTTGGAATATCAAGTTTCATATTTCATAATTCATAACTTTGTATATATTTCCGTTGATATGAACCGAAAAGTAAATAAGAACTGTGGTCTGTTTGATAAAAAAGTATGTTTTGAGTTTTATATTTACGATTACAAATCTGTCACAGCACGTAATTCGAGCATTGGGGTATATATTTTTCATTGCCTAAATTTTTAGCCTCCTGCATTCAGTTTATGGATTTTTCTTTAAACTTGTGAGGACTACAGCAGAATTGCTAACTCTGGTGCAAATAAATTGCTCGGTTAGTATCCAAGCATTTTATTTTTCTAACTACTCGAATTGCTTTCCATTGAATACCATCACAATCAATTTTATTTATTTCGTTACAATGGCCATCTGGCACCAGTAAGAATAAAAAGTTTTTATTCATAACAATGATTACAGTTTATAAAAACAGTGTTCTATATAACTATTCAGTACTGTACTTTCAGTATATATTTCATTTCAGCCATCTATTTATAATGTAGTTCTCATGTCATTATAATATTATGTCATTCAATTCAACAGAATTAACGATTTTCTAACTTTGCACTGTTTATGGAACGTTATAGAAGAGTTTAAATGTTTATGACAAAAATTTTCGCCGAGTATTGTCATGGTTTGATCTGTAAAACTCGATTATTTTCTTAATACTCAACTAAACAAAAGCACCACAAAGCAAATTGTATGAAAGAATCAATGAAATACATATCTATTATAGGGCTTATATCATTGATATTCAAAATTGTTCACTATTTTTATTACGCCTGTGACAATAAATAGGTACATCGATTTTATGAACTAATAATTATATGAATGGTCTTAATATATGAGACACCAGTGCAATCTAATTACTGCAAATATTATTGAATTGACTAAGATTTTGTTAAGTACAAGTTTAATCAACAACGATTATAACATTTTCATGTTCTACACAATATTTTCGTAATAAACGTATGTTCAAAGCAATTTGCACTTTTTACGAAATTCATGGAAATTCACTAGACCGAATCAAACATTCTAAATAAGTGAAACAAAACAGATATTTTCGCAAGTTTTCACAAATTTATTTTCACGCCAAACGAATATGAGCGTGAAAATAGATTTGTTGGAATTAAGTTGCGCCAGAAAGCGTTTTAGTGGTGAGAATGTTTTATAACTACGAGGTTGCATTTAAGTACTAACGTCAAAAATAAAATGGCGGCGCCAAGTAGAATTGTAGTGAATATAGAAAGCTTCATAAATATATATCACCAATCCACCAAACCTGAATAAAATGTTTCATTGTCATATTTCAGCAATACCAGTACACATTATTTTGAAATTTTAGAATATATATCAATTAAAAAAAGTACACTTGCATTTAATCTTTGAACTCCTAAATGTGAATTAAATTGCGTCAAATCCAAAATCCATAGTCTAACTTGGTCATGGATATTGCCATATTTTTATTCAAAATAACATTGTCATCTTTTATAACTACGAATGCTCTTTATACAGAGCTTGCATCATAGTCGCGTTACTGCTGAAATCAAGTTCTTGTTTAGTTCATTTGAAATCTAATTTTTATATTCATAAATTGACATATCTTCATATAATGATTATAAATATTACGTCAATGTATATTTGTTTTACTTGCCCGTTAACATCACCGTATTTCATTTTATTGTCTACCGGATGATGTCTGAATGTCCCACATAAATCTTCACAACGTTTACGATTACGTGTTCAAATTTTACAAGGCTATTTGTGACATTGTGTAAATATGGATGTATAAGAAATATTTTAATGAATGTGATTAGTAAATAAAAGACTTAACTAAATAATGATTTGTCATATTGATTTGCTATTGCTGCTCGACATCATAAAGATCATCGTGTGATTTGTTAAGTTTAATATTATCAGGGAACATCATTAAAATTTCTTTAAATCGACGTTGTTAGAATTTTTACTTTTTTGTTCCGGTTTTATTAGTATATGTCCCACAACTTATGATGATTAGTGATTTGAAGCTCGCCCATAACTTCTAGTTATAGCTTGTTGATTGATGAACTCAAAATTTTCATTGAAAAAAATTTAAACTGGTGGTCAATGACAATGATTTTCAAGTTTATATGACCACGAGAAATAGGCCAAATTTATGTTAAAATAAAACTTTATTAAATATATATTGACTGAAGGTTATCTATGTTAAGCATGCTGGGAGTTGAATGACCCTAAAACATTTCCCAATCGGGTTACTACTTTCATTTATCAGAGTACGTTATCGGCAGTTATAATTGTAGTTGTAATTGTTACCTTGTAGAGTGATTTAGTATGTGTACCATAGTTCAAGGTAAGCTAATAAAAGCAGTAAAACACAAGAATATCAATATTATTTTGGAATTTCCGATCAAAGGGCAAAATAAGAATAATTCTGTGTCACATAAATAAGTGTCATTCGCTTAATTATTTTTACCTCAAATCTGTTGTTCACAACCTCGTAATTTGTGACGGACGCCAAAACAGGCTTATAGCAATTCATAACCCTGTTTACATTGTGCAATAAGAGGGTTGAATGATTTGCAAAAACAATAAAATGAATTAGTAATAACAATACACAGATGATTATATTCATATGAAACGTCAACAGCGGAAATACAACCCACTTATCACATTATGAAATACATCCTGACTTCTGGGTGGTAAAAATATCTACGACTATGCATGGGATTAAAAAAACGCTCTCACGAAAGGCAAGCTAGATATAAGTTTCATGCGTGATCCGATAATCTTTGAATTTTGACCCAGTTAAATTCAAATCGATTTTGTATTCAGTTATACACAATTAAAATAACGGAAATCGCACTCGTCTTTCGTTATTATTATGATCCAATATCCACCTCCAATGTGATGATATAATCTATCACAAAATGCTCGGAAATGGCGTCCTATTTCCCTCCGCAATATGGTGTTATTTGTTGCATTTATAGCTCGAAAATAAGTAGACGTTTTGTTGATATATATTACAAAAACTTTCAAATTTTACAGCTATACATAAAGACACGTTTTCATGTGATTTAAAATCATTTTTTTTCAATGTTTCGGAAGCTGAACGATTAATTGAAGTGAGGGCATTTATTTGATCTGGTCGTATTCACATTCATTCATTATAAAAACTCCGGAATTGTTGCGTATAAAATAAGTTGCTCTGGAATGCACGGTTGAATTATTGGTTTAAATTTATCATTTGTCTGAAAGTTATACTAAAATTGCTCTTTCGAAATTTCTCAACTTGGCATACTGCGTTCAAATTATTATATTATTGGTTATTTTCATCTCTTTATTGCACAAACAAAAAAAAAAATCAAACAAAATCAGTTCAAGCCATATTATTCCGCTATCTCAAAGAAAGAACTCAATATTTTTGATGCAAACAGACCAGTGACTTGAAAAATCTCACTAGACAGTAATCGGTGTCGTTCTCGGGTATACAATGATTTTTTGTTGAGTGCTCAAAATTATCCGACGAACCGCAGTGCTATAAGAGTCTGAGAATTCGGTATTGTCTTTCGCAAACCCTCTCTTTTGTTTCGCTGCACTGGTCATCTGACAGTATTTATACTTCAGCACACTTGCATTTACTTCACACTAAAGGCCCAGGCTGGCAAATCTAGTATCATTCTTGTGTTGAAATTGTCTTTTCACTTGGCGCAAGGAGTCGACTGGACGAGGGCGTGTGGCATCCAATTTCTTTCACCGGTAGTCGACATATTTATAGGAGATGAAGGTTGGTTTGGAGACGGTGTTCTGTTGCTGTTATTAGTAATGTCAGCTGCTGTGTTTGTGTGTTCGGCAACTAACGAACGAGACGAATTCCAGTATGTTGCTGAGCATTCTCCTGTACTGCCTGGTGATACGACAGATGGTGATGATGACATTGGAGAAAATTCTGAATTATAAATAGACTATAGTAATTTTACGTTTATTAATTAAAAATAGAAAAATATTTTCTACTTTTATAGTTTTATATCAATGAACGATCAACATGTAAGGGCTGTAATAGTAGATGATGAAACTCGACAATCATGCAAGCACATTGCAAAATCGATTACCAACAAACCTACGTTATAAAAGTAAATGTGATGGATGCATTTTTAAATAAGTAGTCAGAAATGGTCTCACCTGTCGGCGTTATGGCTGTTGAGGCTTGGATATTGGCAGCATTGGTGTTGTCAGATGTGAAATGTCTGCCTGCAAGTACTGGCGATAATTCTCTCTGAGCAACAGGAGAATGCTGTTCATCAACTGATGAGGTTCGATCATTATCATTCATTGGGGATTTTACTGTTGAAATTAAAATAAAGTCAAATTAAAGGCATGCATATCTTCTTCAGCTTAAAATATTTTATGTGTAACCCCCACAAAAATGTTTGGAATTTGAGATTGCTTATCGATCGTGAAGAAAAATAGTAATCGAGACGATATCTATGATAATGCATTGCTTTTTTACAAGCTATGTTATTACCAATTTGTAATAATACTTTTTCTTACCATTTCCTTGTTGCCATTTATCCTGTGCGTTTAAGTTTTGTTCTTGAAGATGTTTTATGGCTTCTCTCTCACGGGTCAATTTTCTTTGTATTGAGGCTGATAAAGAACAAAAGACAGAATTCAAAAACAAAATCTTCGTTTGTGTACCAAGAATTATTTATTCTGTTTTGGGTCTATTTATATTAAATTAAATCAATAAGTGGTTTGTTCGCATAATAATAGGTAATTTAGAAATTTTACCTCGTATTCTTTCGCTCTCTTCGAGTTTTCTTTGAACCTCAGCTCTCATTTCTTGTTCTTTGGTTATTCTGTTCTTCAGTTCAGCTGCAAATATATGTCAAATAGTAATTTAGCGATATCGAATAAATACAAAATGAGCAAATAAAGAACTGTAATTTATACACAATATGTAAATTCTCTGTATAGAAATCTAGATGAATACTAACTAACGAATCATCAGCATTTGAGAATAAAGTCTAATTTATTTGTGTAACTTACCGATTTCAAAAGATAATTGTTTATCTTGTAGCTTTGCGTTATCTGCTGCTACTTTTAGCAATCCTTGAATGTTGTTCAGCAAAGTCTGCATCGAAGAAATACTGGCGGCACCATTGATCGGATTTTCTGAATGTTCTGGACGCCAATCACTCCCATTTTCGACCGGCGAATCGGGAAGGGCATCGGATTCCTCTTTGGTTTTGTTGAATTCTTGTCCGTTTATATGTTGAGAATCAAAGACATCGATATCATCACCAGGGTAGGACTGGCGGCGGTCGTTATCTCTATCTGTTGAATATATCAACAAATTTAAATATATTTCACAGGATTTTCACTAGAAAGGGATTTTTATCTTATATAATATGTCATCGAATCTAATACCAATTGTTTAGGGCGAGGTCATTGAAATAAAACAATTTCGTTTGATTGCCACATTTATGTTGTTGTATGAACATAATCCAGATAACATTTATATTCCCAGACTAGAATTAAGCTTTATCATACTCGGGTATATATGATTCAGTGAACTTAACTAAATGAGTAACATTTTCTTTCCTTCATCTGTTGACGATCTGTCGTTATGTAAATGTATTTCCTATAAAAATGTATCAATCGAAAAGTACGGCCGGACTGCTGGACAATTACTTCTAACATACCAAAACATTTTGAGAGGTCTCAAATCAGTTTGGTATGTCTTATCTATACAGTCAAGTTGGGAGAATTGGTTGCGGGAAAGGCCTATATAAGAATTGAACGTTGAATACAATTTATAACGCCATAAAATTATGGTTTTTTGTATACTTGTACAATTTAAAGATAGATTTATTTCATCTTTTTGACAAAAGCTTAAAAACGATCATATTTAATACCTGCATCAGATGGCATCTTGTGTGAATGGAAGGAAGAGACACTGATATTTCCAATGCTTCTGCGTTCCATTGGTGATCCAATAGAACGAGGTGATTCTTCTCTTTTGCACATATCTAGATGGCGGTCAACATCACTTCTTGATTGTCTTGAATAAATAAAAAGCGTATTTATTCATTAATTGAAGACTAAAACCATACAAATAATCCACATTGTTAATAAATTAAAAAAGTACCTTCGTTCATTCGAGCTTTCACGGTCGACAATTTTTAACAATAAATAAAAAGCGTATTTATTCATTAATGGAAGACTAAAACCATACAAATAATCCACATTGTTAATTAATTAAAAAAGTACCTTCGTTCATTCGAGCTTTCACGGTCGACAATTTTTGGTTTATGAAATGGATGAAGTTTTGATTCTTCGTACGATGGAGAGTTTCTATTTCCTCCTGAACGATATGGCGATCCTCCTGAATGATCCATGTCATCTTTGTTCTGTTATAATCAAAGCATATTTTTTACCAAATGAAAACTTTTGATTGGTTTTGACGTTGGAATTTATTCGAAAAATGTAATCACTCTTTCTTTTTTTGAGTTGAAATATATTATTACAGGACTTTATGGACACCCTGTATATATTATAACATATAGTCTAATAATACCTGTATTGGTGAGGATTGGTCGCGATCAGCTCCCGAGTTCGTTCCCGAACTTGCAGCCTCTTCATTTGAAGGATTCCTTGCCATCTATCAATGTTAATCATATTTTTTTTACTATTTTTAATGTTAGGAATTTGCCTACCATATAGTAGGTTAATGAAGTTAGGGCTCTGTCTGTAGATACTTTTTAATTTCTCGATAAATATTTTTTCAAAATGGCAAATGCGACCAAATTAGCTTTTTCATCCAATATATTCGGAAAAAAATGGATTTTTTTAAAAAGTGAACCGTGTTCAATAATACATGCAAGTAATAATATATGCGTACTTCGTTGAATTGACTCAGAATGTTCGGCGGAATGGCACCATTGAACAACGCTGGATTTGACATTCCGATGAGGGGTGCAAGTGCTGCGTTCATTTGAGTATGCTGTAGGTTGAGTCCATTGTGAATTCCATTCGCAATAATCTGATGGTAGTGGTTTCGTATGGCTTGCTGTAAAATGATATGCAATGTCAGATTTAGCCCAAAATATTGTCTTTTAGTCATAAAATAAGAAACTCCTAATGTGGTTATTTCTTGTTTTTTTCAATACTTTTATACGAAGATCAAAAATACTATACCTGTATGTAAATGTTAGCATTTGTGTAAAGATCATCTGCCCCTGGACCTGAAGAATATTTTCTGGGTGTAGGTGGACTTCTTCTTGTAGGGCTGGTACTCACTAAAATCAAATGATTCAATGTTTTATTTGTAAAAGAGAAGGTTATACAAAAAAAAATAAGACGAAAAAGCAGCAACTTCGTGTGAGGTTCCGAAATCATAGTTAATAATTTTCTAACATATGATCCGGTAGTATCACTGATAACCAGAAAATTATTTCGTCAAAATTTAGTAAATATGAGTGATAATTTATAGTCTTCAATAAATGTATGTAGAAAAACAAGTCTGGATAATGCATTTTTTATTTACCATTCTGATGTTAACCGACGTAATTTCCAGGTATAAGCGTCAATAAATTGTCTCTCAAAATATAACTTAATACAATGTCTGTGGCGTTCAAGTACCAATGCTGCCTCTTTTTAAAAGAGTTTTTAGCTTATCGCCACAATTTACGAAATATTTCAACAGTGTATGCTGGTCTTCTACTTATATTTCATAAACGTTGTGTTCTTACGGTGTTCAGAAAAATAACTACAGATTTTGCTGTAAGCCAGTCTTTCTATTACGTATGTAATTTCATTATGGTTAACGCAAGGCTGGGTAAGCTTTTATTAATCCTATCTTTTATAAAAAAGAAGGGATCTCTTGAAATTTGTAAATTTTACTATGGTAACTCTATATTAATTGAGCGCAAAAATGTCTTCGAAAGTGCATATATCATATTGAAAATGTGGTCGTTTTCTATTTCCGAAAGTATGAACCGAATCGTTTAAAAAAACGACGTCTGACGTATTCAGAGAATTGTGGAAAAGGATTTAAAAACAACTTAAAATTCTATAAGCATATTCATATGATGGAAAATCATTTCAATATTTAAATACTTTGTTATAATAATATTTTATATATTGTACATTGAATCACAAACAATTAAAAAAGGTTGGCTTCCTTCGAGCAGTTAGAAAACACTTAAATAACGACATCTCTATTGTCTTTGTAATTTCCTGTTAGTTTTGTTCGCTTTTAGTATAACAATAAATATATCAGGAATTACATTAAGCTACGTAGCGCTAAAATGGACTATTTATCTGTTTATGTAAACCAGTTATTTCAATTAACCTTTATGCAAATATGCTTTATTAGCACGGTATGCGGATATAGAGTCTGACTATAAGCAGTTATTTTTGCATTAGAATAATTATGGTATTTCCATAGCAACATATTAACGAAGGCACTTATTTAGATATGGTTTTGTAGCAACTAAATCAATCGTAAGTATGATCTGATGATAGATAGATGTATAGTTTTTGTGGTATCGTGCCATACAATTACTCTATTGTGTGGGCCAGACTTTACATATTAGCCAGACGTAAAACAATGCTCAAATTAGTAAAGAAATTTAACAAATAACAAACACAAAGCAAACATACTTCTTCTTTCTGGCTGTGTAGGCTGGTGAAAATTTGCTTCGTGATCTAATCTCATTCGTTTATGGAAATTACTGAGGTCAGCCGCTCCCATGATGCCCTGTGAATTGAGGTGAAAATATTTGGTTATATAATAGTTTGCATTGTAGAAAAATAGAGCTTGGTGATATGTTATAGATGTTTGTTTCTCCACTATTTGGTAAATATGATACCAAGATGGAAATCGATCGCGTTTTCTTCTAACATGCCATATTGTAAGATTGTACTTTTTCTAATAGAAGGATGATCTATTGGAACCAGTCAAGTTCAACGGTGTAGAATATGTTGTCACTTGATCATTCAAAAATGGAAATCATTTCATATTCTCAATTTGGTAGAGTAACTAATGCATTTATATGGAATTCTGACAGTTATTTCCCGTTTTCCTAAGTTTTACTTTTGTTTACCAAAAATTTAATTCATTCACTGTTTTTTAAAAAACACAAGGACAAAAGTGAATCTGTTTTTGAACAATGTTTGAAAGTTACTCTTATAAAAAACTTTCTTATATCATATGCACCAATAAAAGCACACCGGTATTGTGCAATACAAGTAAGAAACTTATTATTCCAATCAACCCAAAATTACGCGGGATAAATTGAGAGAGGGAGAGATGGGTTTAACCCCATTTCTAATTAGTCTGTTAATCTACAAACGTTGACCACATATCTATACTTTAGCTTACTTACCCTAGCTGGATTTATTGATCGAGCTCCTGGGTGGTGATTCATAAGTTCAGTTGGTGGAAGAATCGGATATCGTTTCGGAGGACGACCTGGACGACTAAAAATGAATATTTTGAAAATTACATGTTTTTATCTTGGATATTTATATAGAAACAATAGACATGCGAGTAGTGCGGAATAGAGAAACAGTTCGAGTGCCAAACAGATAGTTATTGATTGGTAAAAAATAACATATTTCAAAGCGATAACCATGACAATAGAAAAGTGATAGCGATTGTCTGAAAATTTTGTCGATTATCACTTTGGGTAATCTCACAAACATGTAAAAGTTATCACGCTAGGAGAAGATTCATTTTCTCATTCAATCAGAGAAATATTGGCTTAAATCAAACAATATGGCGCTGTTTTCTCTATATTAAACCTCTTTGTGCTGGTGATGTCAAGTTGAAACATTAGTATAATTGAATTGTCCCAACGAAGCAATTGAACGGCCGCTGCGTATTATGTCAAATCAGCGGGCAAACCGAATTATGACGAAAAATGCCTGACAAAAATACACGAATTTCCACTTAAATTCGCGTCGGGGGCGTGGTGCAATGGCGCGCGTTCTGAATTGAGGTGTCATCAAAATTCTTGCAATAAGATTAAAATATTCTTAATTATGGTCGTGTTGTTTCAGGTGATGGACTTGGCATATTTGCCATCTACTTTGTTAATGAAATGTCATGAAACCACCCCCTATGTAAATTCACAGCAGGGTAGAGGAAATGAACTCGCAGGACACGCGAGCCACATTGTGGAAGCTACAAGAAAAATTCTTTCTTATGCAACACTCGATTCCATTTATCATTATTTTCCTCCCATCCATTTGCTACCGATTTGATTACCTTGCAGTGGTGCAGTCCTGATACAAAGTTTCGAAGTCTTTTCGTGTAATGAGTTTACATCTGTTGACGCCCGGCTGAATGGCACCAAGTCCACGCAAAACACGAACCTGTGATAATAATATTAATATAATTATGATGAAGATGTTTCATAAATTAGACTTCGCAAAATAAATAAAAAGAATCATTCCATAATATCATTTTTCATTATCAAACCCTGTCGGAAGTATATTATTATCTATCCAACGAAACTCTTTCGGTTATTATTTTTTTTTCGCTTTTTTTTCTGTTTCACGCTCAGAATAATATTTTGTAAATTTTTGAGTATAATGTGACTCTGTCTTACCTGTTCGACATTGCAAACAACTGGGGCGATATTTAGCCTTTTTAGTTTGGTATAAACTGTGTGCAATCCTCCGACAAGATGTTTGAGAAATCGGTCAAAAACCTGTAACATTTTAACCGCATGAAAGTATAGAAATACAAGGGAATCAAATACTTCATTATCTATGTAAGTTTTAAAAACATATATCATGCGAAATATGATGGTATATAATATAATATCACACACACAGTGTTCGCTGCGCAAAATTTGTTTACATTATCATCATTACTGAGCAAATATAACATCGTTAGTTGACAGACACAAGTACTTGACAGAAAGTGACAGCTATCAGGCTTTTTTCAATATTGGTTATCGAGAATGTGAGTGGTTATGGAATATATACCTGTGGCAAGCAAATGAACTCTTCGCCGCCGATCATAAAACTTGCAATATTGACTCCTCTCAGTTCTACCAGTTTGCATTCGTTGTTGGCTGGAGTGCTCTGAACTGGATGTGGCGTACTGTACACTGGTCTCTCATTCTATTGAAATAGAAAATATTCACTCTTTATATATTTATATATGGAATAGACTTGTGCACAGTAAAACAATAAATATGATTAGCTGGTAATATTATACTTCCATTTTGTTGTAAACCATACCTAAAATATGTTCCATTATTTAACAGTTACCTAAGCAAGACATATTACAATATGTTCATTAATACAAGGTAAGATTTTAATCTCCCTTGCCGTAAATTAAATACTTCTATAGCTATGCACATCGTAAACGATTTTTGGCTCGTTCAACCGTACTATTTACTTAACTATGTCGTTAATAATGCGGCACGTCGTATGTTATGACATTTACATTAAAACATTACATTTTCATATCAAGTCAAACACAGCAAAATTTTTGTTCTTCAGTTTTATTTATATTCAATAACAATATTATTTAAAATTGAAATAATTATTTTAACATTAAAAAAATTAATTTTTTATTTATTTATTTTGAAGTCATACACGATTATCTTTTTAAAATAATAACTACTTGAAAAAAATGCCAGGTTTGTATAAGAAGATTGAAAACCGTGTAAAAACATCAATATTGACATATGTAAAATATCTTTTGCAAAAATATCGAATATTAAAACATTTCATATGTTTTGTATATTATTACACAACTTCGTGTTTCATTCCCGAGCATGATCCGAATATGTACCGGATAGATTCCATCAATGGACCTTGCTCGATCGTGAATATATTCGGATAAGTAAAGAAATTGAAACACGTGGGAGTGACTTACCAATAGCGAAGCATTTTGCTTGCTGGTTATATGTAACATTCCTTGTAAACCAAGCTTACCAAAATGCGTGACAATATAAAAAGAAATATTCTGTATCTCGGGCTAATCATGATTGTACAAATATAATTCATATGTCACGTCGATATCCGTCTCAATTATAACAGTTTCAATATTAATTAGTATTTATTTTATCTTTAAACTAATTTTATAATAACATGGTTGCTATTTATTGTACTACAACAAAATAATTGCTGGATTAAAAGTCAATGGTGTTAAAATAAAATATAATATATGAAATAATATGGGGGATTATAGTTTATCGGAAACACAGTCAATTAGTCACACATAGGAGTTATACTGAATACGTTTGGTAACATGGATCTCGAAATATTAACAGTATGCTAATCTTATTGTGCTTGTAGAGATAAGTTTGAATATTGGGAAAAAATAACTTATGTGTTTAAAAACATATATCACTCCCCAGGTAGCCCCGATAGTTGCCATATTTTGGACTTTGGTCCAATGTCGGCTTTCCCTACACCATTGCATATATCATTAAAATGGCGATCACCGCCAAAATTTCTAAATCTGTTCGACAAGTTGTGGGTTCGAAATTTTGAGTCGTTATTTTGGCATCCTCTTAACGCGTATTTAGCTTTTTGTTTGTGACGGCCTATTGAGCAACGCGTGACATAAAATGAAAATATAATGTGGTGCATATTCGAACAGCAAAAAGCGGTTGTGTCGATTGAGTTTACTTATTTTATTCTTGTATAATGTATATTTTGTATAATCGTAAAGTCAAGTTAAATGATATATGATTTGGTGTTTGATTGACAATTATTTGTTAGATGATTTACATTAGCGGTAGGATTAATATAAACTTCATTCATAACAAATCCATTGGTGCCATGCACCAACAAGATTTCATTTGCGCCAAGGGCTTTTTAGATTAATCTTAATATGATATCAAGTAGCATTCATCTTCATTACTTTTTCAGGTTATTGTTGAAATAGGCGTGATCTCTCTAAATAGCTCTTCTAGTTGTTTTTATGAAACTCACAAATTATATTAATAAAATAAAGTATGTATTTGCAGATATGCAGTTTCGACCTGTTTTTTTTTGCCAAAATTGAATGTTCACATACAATGGAATACATTGAAGTCACAAAATATAGAAACTTTTTATGTCGTTTATCTTTTAATATTTACATAATATAAACCACAAGAAGTTTTTACAAAACAAGTCATAAATAGAATTTCATTTGGCTGCGTCAAACAAAACATATATCAATGCAAAACCCATTTCATTACGTGTTTGACACCCTATCATTGTGTGGATATTAATTTTGGTTTTTTAATATCAACATCAGGTGTCTGTACAAACCGCAGTATATTAAAACATGCTAATGGCGTGTGCGAGAGCGGATCCACTATCGCTAAAATAGAAATAGATGAAAATGAATAATATTTTAAAGTTATGATAGAAAATGTTGTTTTAAGATGCATTAACTATTAAATAATACTCGCCGCTTCTCTGCAATCAAAAATGTTGCAAATTTCGAATGGATGAGGGTATAGGCAAAACGAAAACAATTGCATATTTTTATAAAGCTTTTGTCCTATAAATTCATTTACTTCTGAATTTATTACTCATAGCACAAATGCAATAATTTTGATTTGTTTTCTTTTGTCGTGTTGGATTGTTTTGTTAGTTGAAAGACGAAGGAAGAAGTGTAATGAGAGCTCGCATAGATTTGTGTTTCCCCTCCATCGAAGTCAATTTGCATTTTGTTAAGTCATTTGATATACATGAATTGAATTGGGCAATAATAAGTAGCGAAGGAAATGGGAAAATTGGTGATTTATCATCCGACTTTTAATATTTTCTAAGTTAGGATATACGATATTTATTAACATTCTAATTTGTATCAACTAGTTGTTGATTCATTTTGTTTCTCGGTAAAATGGACAGATGAATATAATTTGATTAATAGTCGCCTGGTTGCTAATAATTCCAACGGAAATCGAAAGACAAAAATATTATTAATTTACTTTACGTGTAAGCCCGACGCTGACGAAACCACAATCGGGCCGCCATTTTTCGAATTGCGACTGACGCGAAATTTTGCGATGGATGTTGATTGGATACGTTTATCCTTGTTCCATGCTCGTGTTGATTTTGTTTAATGGGCGTGATTATCATATATGAAATTTCGACTTTTATATAACTATTTGTTATCAAAATATGTTGGAGTGAACAGAAATAGTATGAATATTTAAAATGTTATGCTTTCATCAGTGTACGATTAAATTTTAAATCACACTAAATGTGTACGAAATATGTCCATAAGCAGTTTTTTTTTTAATCTCATTTTTTTATTTTGCCCCAATCTATCATTCCGAAAATATATCTATAATTGATGTTTGTAATTGTGTGAAATAATGTCATTTTCATGTTACCAGAAGTAACATGGAAATGTACAAATTGTATGGAAGTAAAACTCATATCCTCAAAAAGCATGTTTGCAAAAAAAAAATTTTAGACAATCTTTTAGTATTAATATAGTAATCCTGTTAATTGCATAGTTAGTGAATGGTTTTGTCCCAAGTTCTGACGTCCTTGCGCAAATAATCGCAAACGAAAGGTACCATATGGGAAAAGCAAAAAAAAAAGTACGTTACATATTTATACAACTGAGTATTTTATCTAGTCTATAACAGTAATGATGTATAACTGTGTGCAACTGTAAGCATGACAATGAAGTGTATATTATAGAAAATATCAAGAGCACACCTTCAATTACTCCGAAGTGTACGCGCTTATTCCGCAGGATTTGAAACTCTTTTTTTCGCTCAACCTGCTATTATAACTCCGATGTCTCGAACGCGTCTCGATTAATATTATAAATTAATAATAAACCATAAAGTGTAATTGATACCATTAGCGATTTCAAAAGCAACTTTTTGATCCAAAAACACACACATCACACATACCGATGAATACCAACTTTTATTTTCAACTTTAATGGTGAAATGTCGGAAAAGATGAACATGCCAATTTAAAAATAGAAAACATACCTTGTACGCTTGAAGCTGTGGAGAAGTCATGCTTATTCGATCCCAGTTATTGTTCATCATAAGACCGAGAGACATTTTGAAAATTATAGGGTGTGGACAATTGTCTTTGAAAACTTTTAAATATTTTTTACTACTTCACTTAATTGAATCTGAAACCAAAGAACATATTATTTAATATTCTGACCAAACTGTTCAATTCAAATATAGCAATAAATTGTTGAGGAAATAATAATTTGGGATATTCGTTAAAAAACCGTAGTATTTAAACCAAATCGCGTAAGTCGCTTCATTAAAACCGCACACAAAAACTCATTTATCTCCGTAAAACTATAATGAAAATTTCAAACCACAACAAATTTCTCATTTTATCTAACTCATTAAAAAATACCTTCTCATGCACATTGCCTCATGGTTTTATAGATAGGATATTACATCCGCATATATCAATTAACTTTGCTAAACTGTTAATAGTTTACGACCCAGCTTGTACTGGGCTAGAAACGTTTAACCACACTTGAAGACATCTACGCATTTAAATAGGTTATCTTCAAGTCTCCCACTTCTATTGAAATCGGGGAATTATATCTAAATCTATTCCTTTCTACATCCCGTCTTATCCGCATCGTATCCGAAAACTAAAATGCGATCCCTGTTAATCCTAAACACATCATGCCGTTCGCTAAACGATTGTAAGAACGAGAGACCTTTATCAACAAAACAAAAATAGAGATAAAAAGAGAAATGAACGGAGTCGTGTGGTTGGTTGATCGTCGATGTTGTATTGTTCTCTCGGATAAATTATTCTCTCGCATCACGTCGTTTTGTAACTTTGCGATGTTTCTCTAAAACAAAACCACTATCATATTGGAAGGAATATTGAAAGCGTTTAGTAACTGACCGAAGTCATTGTCAGTTAGTTAGTCCTACTACAACTTAATATAATAAGCTTTCACAGTTTGGAAATTGTTTAAATTGTCATTCATTACTCCATACTCACTGCCTATTTTATAGATGCAATAGTTGAAAAACATTTATATAGAAAGCTTTCAGACGCAGTTGGCAACAAAGATAAATTTTTGGTCGTTTACAGATTTTTAGAATCTAGGCATGAATTTACATACGCAATTCAACTTGAAGAAGTCCAAAATCAAACATATAGACTATTTTTATATATATTAATTATATATTAATATAAATTTCGTAGTCCTGACCTTTTATGATGAACAAATGAACAATGATAGAAAATTCTTCATTATACATGTCTGTTTAATTTTTCTAGAATACGTGAAAAAAATAGATGAGATGTTTTCAGCAGTTTTTAGAGTTTTTAATGAATCTTCGTCACTTCAGTTGCAATTTTATTCAAAATGCCCAGTATTCTTAAAATGTTATATTTCTAAAATTTTGGAATATTATTGTTATAATGTCAAATAATGATAATAATATATAATTTTAATATATAAAAAAGCTATTGAATCAACAATATACGTTGCAACGTATGTGATAGTTTTGTTAGTATATTTAACTGATATTTGAACCTTTCATCAAATTGACCATTTGGTCATTGGAAGCCTATTCTAGTGGGTAATTGGTAATTTTGAAAACATACAAGCATGCAACTTCTTTTGGCGAGTAGTGTCCACCATCACATTTTTGAATAATAATTAGATTTTGATTAAGTAAAAGATTTATTAAATATTATTCTAAAATACCAAAGTGAAAAATTAACAGTCAAAAGTGCGTACGTGAGGAGCATCTGTTAATTATTTTAAGATATTCGATTCAGAGTCATATGCTCGAAGATGAGACGGTATGTGGATATCCGGTAAATTATAATATGAGATTTATATAAAATAATAAGACAACACAATATGTTTGTGATTAATATTACCCTAACACTCTTTTTAGAACTTCCTGCATAAGATGAGCGGATCCATTAAAACAAAGATCCGTGGAATGATCATCAAGTCAAACAATAGATTGGGATAACATAGGCTCTCAAGAAGTCAAGCTTCCCGTTTTTGAGCGATTCTTCAAGTCATGCCCCATTTCCTTTCACATTTCTCTATTGTTTAAGCGATTAAAGGAGTTTAATATTACTTTTACTTTTTATAATGATTCATTCGACTTCCATATGCAACATATCACGAAAGGATGAATTTGGCGCGAGATTTTTATACAGTAAATATGCAACGTAGTCATCTAATTGCTAGGTCGTGATATTATCTTTTTATATCAAATTGTAAAAACATTGATCATATCTTTGTATTTTCTTCATATACTGCGGTTTTACCTGGTTTTACTTGGTAACCAGAAAAGAACCCACAAAGCTACACCGTGTTGATCTGCTGTCATTATGTTAACACTTTTAGTATGCACAAATTTCTTGACAACTTGCAGCAACACTTTGAAAAGAACTGTTTATATTTTCAGCCTTCTCTATGATGGTTTTAAGTCATTTCCTGTGAGCTCAAGCACATTTTCTCTGCTTTTCTTACAAGCCTGATCTATACAATGTGAATATATCTGTTTTCCTCCAAGCGATTAAAATGTTTTACTTTCTCTACAAGATTGTGTATATACATTTGTAACTGCCTTGCTTTATGCTAGTTTTTAATGCATAAAAACGTCATTTGATCTGATATCCTAACAAGACATCCTTTTCACCATTTTGTTATGCTATAAATTTATCCTGTTTTGCGATATTTTAAAGCTTTGTAAATATCCAAAATGAAGGAAAATTTAGGAAAATAATTCTCGAATATCAATCCTGTCAAATTGGCTAATTTACAAGCGAATAAAATCCCCTTGCTGACATAGAAATTCCCCCAGCGTCACTGTCGACATGATCCTTTCTGCTAGACTGAAAATGCAAATGAAATAGAGCAAAATTATTCGTCACGCCGTCATGTAACATGCTTGATACGCTTTTTAAATAAATATACATGTGAGTTGGAAGCGAAAAGCACATAGAAATAGTTGAAAATCTAGTTCTGATTGCCCGTAAATATACATATCGACAAAGCCCATGGGCTTAAGGATCTCATGTCAAGTAATACAAAAATATGGCACAAACATATATTCTTTACATTGTACAAGACTCGATGATTTGAATGAAAGCTGCGGGTAAAATAGACAAAACTCCAATTATTTAGCACTTATAAAACTGAAGTAGTCTAAGTGAAACCATTGTCAAGCAATAGAAATCTGGGTATGCTAATATCAACAATAAATTGCGTATCTGATCATTTGTAGTGACGATACAGATTTAAAAAGCAATATTCTGGTCTTTCAAAAGTTAAGCTTAATTGATATGATTGAGAATTGCCGCTCAGATATGAGCCAAAAAAGAAAGCGTGGCAAGAAAATACAATACATTGCAACTCTGAGATGTAAGAATAGAAACATTCAACTTTCTGAAGAGATCTTCAATATAATGTGAGATATTTGCGTATGAAATACTTTGATCGCCGCTAGGTCAAAAACATATCTTCATTTAAGATTTAACGGCTGTAGGTGATGCCCATTGATAAGCAACCTATTTTATTCTCAGATTGAGAGAGAATGTATTCAAATTAAATTGAGAATGAACCAGTACCTGAATACTCTTAATAATACGAACCGATTGAATGACGGGTTATTATCAAGTCATGAGGGGAAAGTAAGATGTTATTTCCGCAAAATAAAAAATAATTTCATTCTTGTAGAGTCTGTGTGTTTGTGAATCAACCGCTTAACCGGATAATGAACCTACGTCCTTCCTAGTAACCTACTAATATATAGAGGTCCAATGTAAAATATACTGATTCAAAGAATTAAATGTTAACACTCAATCTATATTTAATGCAGTAAATGGTGAACAATACTCTTTTTGAAACCATATCTTTGACAGGTTGAGGCATACATCCGGACATTACTAATATGATTTTATGATCTTTACTTTAGTCTGTTTCTTTTGCAACAAAAGTACAAATAGGTTCATTAATATTGCTTCGAATCATGCCTATTTATTATACCGACGGTGCGCCGATTTTTAGAGGCAATATGACTATAATTTTTTGAACTGTTTGAATCAGTTCGTGAATGGAAAAAATATTCCTAATTCTTATTTTAACTAAAACGAACTGATCAGTAACAAACACTTTTGCTTTAAAAGATGTTTACTAAATTCAATTTTCAGTGCGTTTTATTACTTTTACATACATAACTAGAGTTGTAAAAGGAAATTGTAGTACCTTCATATGTGCTCGACCGCTATGCTGCATAGTAGGCAGAAAATGGTGTCTAGGTATTTCCAATATTATTGCTCGACCATTTCTGGAAACACGTTTCGTTATATGCATGGAAACCGACTAATCTCCCAATATGCTACAAGCTGCTAGGGTGAAACTCCATTGAATACCTTATACATATTAATTCAATAGCCGCGAAATCATATAATATTGCGGAAACAGGTCTTTATTTCTCCGAGAATGAATATATATACGATTTTATGACCCATTGCCCAATTTCCTGTTTCGATTATTACAGAAATGGTTGAATAAATGATGATAAATTGACGTTTTGTACTGTCGATCCGTTGCGATAGGTGTTTTGCTTGAATTTATATAGAGAAAAATAATGTAACTTAAACTCTTTCTTAATTTACTTTAAATGCATATTAAATTGGACTAATGTTTTTTCTTGTAATCGTATTATTATAAATGACTGTTATTTAGGTTAGTTGGATCAATTTGGTAGGAAATGTCAATGATTATTGTAATAAATTAGTATTAGATAAATTATTCGCTCGATAATAGTCAGTGGAGTTAATTAGATTCGGCGAAAAGTCAATGAAACGCAGTTTTAGTGTGAAAAGAATATAAGATTAATTTTAGATACGATAATACGATGATAAAAAATTCAATAAAATTAAAAGCTTTGTGAGATGAAATGCCAGTTTGACGTCATTTTAGACGTCGAGAGGATGGGTTTTGACAAACAAAATCGTCAACAATATTCTGCAATTATATTCATATTTTGTTCGATTTAGTATTATGGAGCTTGTATAAAAATGTGTAATCTTAATATACAAATTATTAATATGCTCATGACAGAGTCAAATAAAATTTAAACAATAATTTAAAGCTTACATTCTTATTCTATTGCA